GGGACAGCAAAGATGCAAAATGCTGTGCTGTCCACTGTTGCTTGGGGGCCTAAGCTGTGCCTCTGGGCATGTGTGCAACTCTTTTTCACTTGGCAAGATGTTTCCCAGCTTCTCTGGGGACACAGATGAGCCCCTCTGAGAATCCAAGCGAGCCCTGGCTTCTGGTGACGTCTTCCTGGGCACTAAAAATTCCTGCCTTTGCCCTGGTGTGATCTGCACGCTCACTTCTCCTGTGCAGCCTTCTCAGATGGGCGTGTGCATTTCCACAGACATCCTCATTGTGAAGCTGCGGAAGGGCCAGGAGCTGAGGCTGCGAGCCTATGCCAAGAAGGGCTTTGGCAAGGAGCACGCCAAGTGGAACCCCACGGCAGGCGTGGCGTTCGAGTACGACCCGGACAACGCGCTGAGGCACACCGTGTACCCCAAACCGGAGGAGTGGTATGTTCTGATGTCTGTCTGGAGGGACTGGAAAAGTAGGCACCTAGGTTTCAGCCCTGAGGATGATCTGGGTCAGTAAGTGATCGTGAGCAGCGTGCCTGTCGTTTCCCCTTGCACAGACTCTGCTCCTGTGTTAGGGTACCAAAACCAGTCGCTTGGTTGCAGCTGCATGCAGGGTGGACTGGTTTGCGGCCACCTCTTGTCCTGTCTTCACATACCATCACTGCTGTTTTACCTTGCTTTCATGATCTTTCCCATGACTTGTTCCTGTTTTTTCTTCCCTGTGCAAGTGGTACATAGGTCAGGGTAAGGTCTGAGGAAGGAGAAGAACCACGCGAGGTGGAAGAGGTGGCTACAAGAGTGGAGAGCGGAAGGTTAGCTTGCAAGGCTGATTTTGCAGCCCTGTTTGTTTGAGGAAGCCCAGTGTGTGACTCTGATGTCACCCGTACATCTCCTCACTCCTGGAGCGTGAGCTCTGGCAGCAGTCTTCCTCTCGGTGCCTTGCCTCTGCCCTGACATATCATTCTGCACCGATGGCACGCTGCATCTCATCTAAAAGTGACATGATTTTGCTTTCAGAAAGCTGCTGCCCTGCTTTGGCCAGGGCGAGGGCTTCACCTCGCAGCACTTTCCTATGAGTAAATACCTGAGCTGCTCCTGGCTCTGCATCCCATCCTAGCAGAGATCCTGCCATCGAGCAAAGCGAGGAACCAGGCGCTTTCGCCAAGGCAGGCTGAGAGCAGGGAGCGGAGGGGGCGGTGGATATGTTGCCGTAACCGCAGGGCAGCAGCCAGAGCTGGGCTCAAGGTCAGGAAGACCTCGGGCACAGGAGCAGGATTTGGTGCAGGGACCGCAGGAGCCGGGGCTGAGCGAGCGGGAACAAAAGCCTGAGCAGAGCTGCAGCTGGAGAGGAGGCTGAGCGGCAGAAGGGGCTCAGCAGGTTTTCCTCCTGTCGCCACCAGACTGCTGCCAATTTTGACTCCAAATGGCTGCAGGCACTAGCAGGCAGGTAGTGGCCGTTGTTCCTTCCCGCTCCGGACTCGTCACACAGCGTGGCCTTGTGTGTCCCTTGCTACATGAGCTACTGGTAAGTGAGCTTCCCAGAGGTGCACTCAGCCTGGATTTAGCCCCTCAGCCGGACTGCCGGGGGCTGCCTGCGCAGGAGCTGTGTCGTGCTTTGGCTCAGCCACCAACTCACACCACACAGCCCCTCACCCTCCCCCACCCCGGGGAATGAATGGGGAAGAGAATTAAAGGGGAAAGGGAAGGAGACTGCTGGGTTGAGATAAGAGCAGTTTAATAATAATACAAAATTAAAAGTAATAATGATGATAATATGTGAGTATTTATATGTATAAGGATAATAATGTGCACAATGTAATTGCCTGTCTTGTCCTGGCAAATGGTTCTGAAACAGATAAGTCCCGACACGGCAATGCGGGAAGAGCAAGAGGCCCAAAAAGAGAATGGGAGAGAGAGAGAACTCCAAGAGACTGAGAGAGCCCTCAGAAGAGCAAGAGCGCTTCTTCCCAGTCAGCCCTCACCTATACACTGGGCACAACCCTGCGTGATATGGAATACTCCATTGGCCAATTTGTCCCTCAATCCTGAGTCTAAGTTCAAATCCTAAGGGCAGTTGAGGGCCCTTGTCCCAGCCGTGCTCCCCCCCGGCCTGTTGTGCTCCTGCACACTGGCAAAACACGGGAAGCTGGAAAGCCCTTGATGTCTCGGCACCAACTGTAACCATCAGTGCGCTGTCAACGTTCTGCTCACAGCAAATCCCAGAGTAAATCCCAAACCCAGAGCTCTTCTGGCTGCTACAAAGAAGAACTAACTCTGTCCCAGGCGAAAGCAGGACAATCCGTCACGGAGATCCTGTGTGGCTGGGTTTGCGCTCGGGAGGCTTGAGAAGCCTTTTGTAGCCCAGGCTGGAGGTGCATGAAATGGGCTGGGACCTGCCCGCAGCCATCCCAGCCCTGTTTTATGGATGGAGGGAGCAAACCCCACTTGGCTTTGATGGGCTCTGTAGGGTGCGTTCGTGGGTCCTGTTCAGGCAGTCTGGGTGGGAGCGGGACGTGCCAGGCGTTCGGCTCCTTCAGCGCTTGGTCAGGGCGGTGCTCCGGGGTTTGCCGTAGGAACCAGGCTGGCTGGTAGGACAGGAAATGTGGAAATGGGCATTTTCCTTAGCATTGGTGATCTGTACACGTGGGCTGAAGCTGGACTCGAGGAGCTGCCAGCTGCAGAGCAGGCTGTCAGGAGGCCAGTAGTGGTGAGGTGGTGCAGAGCCAAGGAGGGTGCTGCTTGGCACTTGTGTGGTCAGGAGCATGTCACAAGCGATGAGCTGTCGACCTGTCCTTTGTCACCAGCAGTTTTGGGGGTGGAACTGGATAGTTTTGAAGTTTCCAAATAATTTGTGGCAGGTAAATTGCTCCGAAGTTTAGTCGATTGTCTGAGCGATTGGATGTTTGAGAAGCCAGAATGTTTCCGTCATGTGGAATTTCAGATCGGGATTTGAAATCATTTCAGGCTTCGTTTTGATGCTGTAAAAGTTCACTGGTTTAATTTCTGTATCACTAAATAGTGTGTCTGTGACACCGATACAGTGACAAGACTTGGAATGCTGCTTTGAGTTGGACAGCCGGGTGCCAGGCAGGCTGAGGTATCGTTGAGTTTGCCTTCTTTTCCAACAGGGAATGCGACAGTGTGAGTTTAGGAGAGTTTGGGCTGTCGGAGATGTCGGTGTCACGGAGAACAGCCCCAGGTGCGTGACTGAGCACGTGTACCTCGGCAACGAGGTGCTTCCCAGTCAGGAACCTGGTGGGTTATACAGCAAGCTGGGTCACTGGAAACAGTTTTTGAAAAGTTCTTGACAAAATATACGTGAAAGTTGGAAAAATCCCAAAGCAAGTTTGCCGTTGGAGCTGCCTCTTCCCTGATGACACGTCTGTCCTTCCAAGTTGCTCTATTCCCCGTGAAGACAACACAGAGACAAAGGGCCCTGCTGTCCAAGGCTAGCTGTTATTTTTGGTTTGGTTTTACATCCTGTTTGCTTTTTTGAGACTGGTGGCAGAGCACTGGCGCACAGCTGGACTCTCAAAGCAGCTGTCGTGGCGGTGGAAACCTCTGCCCTGTTCTTTTGGTTTTGCAAGTAACGTGAAGACGCAGCTCCATTAACACTTTATCTCTCCGTGTTTTGTTACAGACAGAGGATTTGTTTGGGAAGTGCAGTTTTATTTAAGGCAGCTGATGATAGGGTGCTTGGATCAGCCTTTCTTGACATCACTGGGGCAGAGGAAGGCCGGCAGGAGACCTTGGTGGAATGGGATTTTCTGTGCTGGCTTCTCAGACAGTCAAGGCTTTGGGTTTTCTTACATGGATTAAGTGCTTCCAAACAATCTCTCTGATTTGATGCTCTATAAGCCAAGGGATGCAACAGGTAGAAAGATGTGTTGGCCCAGCTGATGATTGCGGTGATTTTGGTAGCAATGTGTGTAGAGGAGTGGAGGTGCAGGACATGGGGATGGGGCTTGCTGATGTAGCTGGTGTCTGAAGTACAGGAGATGATTGTTTCCTGCTGGGCACGAGCCGACCGGGGCTTCCTTCCCATCTCAGCTCTGCTGCACAGACCGAGGGCCAGAGTGCTCTGGTGTTTTCCCAGCCCAGTGAAAAGTAGCAAGCAAAGGTAACGCAAGGTCCCTTGCTCCCTGAACAGCATCTGGGCTCCATAAACACAGTCCCTTCAAGCATCGGCATCCCTTTGCTGTACGCACCTGCCAGGCTGTGCCAGCGTAAGTGGATGGAGCCACGGTACCTTGCACAGGGCTCGCTGAGTTTGGGCAGAGCGGGGCTGATCTTCCTCCAGCGCTGCGGGGTGACTGCGTGGCATTAATGAGGAAGGCAGCATGGGACTGAGCTTTTTTCTGTGACTTAGTGTTTGATAACTGCTCCTTTGTCTTCTCCTCTGCCTGCTGGACATCAGCCTCAGTGCGTGCTCTCTGGGGCCAGGCTAGAGCGTGGGTTCCGTGCTGACCTTCCCTGCTCTTTGATTTCAGGCCCAAGAGTGAGTACTCGGAGATCGACGAGGAAGATGCTCAGGCTCCCTATGACCCCAACGGGAAGCCAGAGAGGTAGGAAGCTGAATGTGCTGCTGCAGCTGGAAAATGGGGGAGACTGGCTGGGTGCATCTCTTTGGCGTTTGTTAGTACGAGAGTTTCTGCTCGGTGCTGAAGTTTGCCAGCCCAGGAGCTGGTGTTGCCTGCAAAGCCCAGAAGTTGGAGTTAACTGGTGATACGCCCAGGCTTGGCAGGTTTTCCTCTCTGGGAGATGCTGGATGGCTCTCCTGAGTCCGTGTTATCAAGTAGAGCAGAGCAGCACCCCGTGAAGTGTGAGGCCTGTGGGATATTTATTCACCCCTGTGGGTCTCATGCTTTGATTGCTGGTGGTGCCCCCTCGCCTGGGTTTTTGCCCTGCAGAAGTGCCTGCAGCCAGTCTTCCTCCCTGTGCTGGCTTGCAGGTCACAGTGCTGAGTGGAGACAAGCTCTTGCAGCCTCTGGAGTCAGGAGCGTTGGTGTGGCGGGGGTAGAGGGGTGTCGTGGGTTAGGCCGCTCCGGCAACTCAAGTCCTTGAGACCTCAGTGCCACCTACAAACATCAGCTTGCTATCAGCATTCTTCTCAGAGCGAGCCTCTGAGTAAAACCAAACACGGAGCTCTTCTAGCTCCGTGCTAGAACTCTGTCCCAGCTAAAACCAGGACAAGGGGCAGCGCTGGCTGTTGCCCGGTTGGGAAGTGAATGATGCTGGTGGTTGGGATTCCCTGCGGATCTCCCTGCGGTGGGTCAGGATGGGCCGGAACTGCTCTGTGGCTGCTCTCTGGTTTTGCACCTCCTCGCAGGGCAGATGGTGACTTGTCCCTCTGACTTGTAACCTCAGGTTTTACTACAATGTGGAGTCCTGCGGTTCTCTGCGCCCGGAGACCATCGTTCTCTCTGCGTTGTCTGGCCTGAAGAAGAAACTGAGCGACCTCCAGACCCAGCTGAGCCATGAGATTCAGAGTGATGTCCTCACTATAAACTGAGGTGGCCCCTGCAAGAGAGCACTCGGGTTCCAGCGCCCTGCATGGAGGCTTTTACCTCCCCATCTCCGTCTGCCTTTCCTGGCCCAGCTCTGCTGGTTGGTGCCACCTCTCCCTTGGCCCTCTTTCCCAGGGAACGCCATTGTGACGTGTAGAGTAAAGCAGGAAGGGAATTGGTGGGCAGCTTCACTGGGGCAGGCTTGATCTTTAAGTGATCTCAGAGTTTTGGGTCAGAGTTTTGGATTCTGACCATGCAGTGTTTGGGACTGGGAAGCGCACACCTCGGTTACACAACCCTACCTTATTTGCATGTCCGTTCCTTACTGTGCTGAATAAAGCCTTACCCCCTGTGTCCTCTTATCCCTGAAAGCTCGTCAGGGGCTGCGGGAGGAGATGTCACATCATTTACTTCTCTCCAATAGACATTAAGTTAATGAGCTCTGCCTTGGATGGAGCATTGCTCTCTACTGCTGATTGCTGCTCTTGACATTATCTCCTAAGGAGACCAGAACCCCCTCCAGCAGGTAGCCCATCATTTACCCATCCAGCGCTGTATTTAAGGCAGATGTTTGAGCCTGGGTTGGTAGGCGAGATGCTACAGAAGGCAGTGCTGCCGGGGAGCCCAGATGGGCCAGGCAGGCTTAGCTGTATTTAAAGACTCCTTTGGAGCAGCCTCTCCCCCTGCGCTACACAGCCTTTACGTTAGGAGCTGGGATGGCAGGGAGCCTGTCCGTGATAACCCCTGGCTGACAGCTTCCAGCATGCCTGCAGCCCCGAGGCGCGTTGTGCTGGGCTGGAGCTTGGTGCAGGTACCCAAGTGTGACCGCCGCGGCAGTGGCTGAAGGGCTCCAGCAATTGTCTGCATCGCCCGTTCTCCTCCCCTCTGGCAGCCCCAGCAGGACTTGGGATGAGCTTCTCAGTGATGCCTTCCTGGAGAGATCTGCGTCTTCCTTACTGTGGTGGCTGGGAGGGAGGGGAAGGCACGTGTGCTGCTGCACTCATACCAGCATGGACGTGGGGCATGGGAGGCACTCGGGGAGTGGGGACGGATGCTCGAGCTGAGCTGGAGGGAGCAGCCTGAGTCACCGCTGCCTTCCTCTCCAAGGCAGGCGGGCCGCTGCTCCAGTGTCCTTGCCATGGCACAGCTGGCTGTGGCACGGCTCCCAAGACCTGTCCCCACCCCTGGAGGAGGGAGTGTTGCCCCGGTTGGCATGGCCATCTTGCCATGATGCTCTGCCAGACATGGCACGGATAACCGAACTGGCACAGTTCTGGAAGAGCTGGGAGATGGCGTGGCTCGAAACTCCCTCACCCAGGGATTTGGAGCCCTGGCACGTCCCCGGAGCCGCGGGGTGACAGTGGGTTGCTGGCATCCTGTTTCACTTGAGGTTGTTTGATGGAGGGTGGCAACTTGCTCCACCCTTCTTCCCTTCCCAGCAGTTTTAGGGCTTCACTTGAAAAGTCCTGGCTGTGGCTGGA